TGCCGCGGAGAAGAGCCTTGCCATGTCCAGCCCAGCCCCGACGGGCAGCACCTCCTGGTCCTGCAGAAGAGCGGGCCGCCCCCCACGCCCCGGGTGGTGGCCTTCCAGCGCCACAGCATCGCTGGAACCGACCTGGAGAGGAACTGGCAGCCGCCCCAGCCAGCCCTTGTGGGACTGCTCTTCCTGCAGAGCCCTGTGGTACTGGACTCCTGGGTACTGGCCATGGTGTGGGAACACGGCCGGACCGAGGTCTGGCACTTTGTGGTGGCCGTGGGCTGGCAGCTGCTGCAGACACTGGAGCTCTGCCAGGGTGCCCGGGCACGAATTGTCTCCGTGTGCAGCCAGGGAGCCAGCCTGGTGTGGTGTGAGGAGAGGCCCCCCCTGGGTGCCCACTCGGACATGAGCAAGTGTGCCTTCAGATTCTGTGTCTGTGCCCGTGCTCTGGAGGTGGGGGAGCAAGGTGTGAGGCTGGGCACCGTGAGGATGGTCCTGCACAACAGCCCTGAGTACCAGGTCCTGGCCTCCCCTCAGCACATCTTCCTGGTGCCTGCTGCTGCCAGCTTTGCCACCACTTCCAAATTCCTCCTCATCTGGCATCCTGAGACAGCAAAGCTCACCATCACAGCCCCCTCTGCAGGCTTCATCCACAGCAAGGTGCTGCGCTCCAGCAGCGAGTCAGACTTCAGAAAACTCCTGCTGGGTTCTGTGGGCCTTCTCTCAGGTTTTACACCCCTGGACATTCACACATCTGCTGTGTCTAACAGTGGGGGTCTGCTGCTGGTGAGTACAAAGGGTGCTGTGAACATGGTGGAGCCAGATGGGACACAGAGGCATGTCTTTGACCTGGAGGTGGGCTCCCTGGCCCAGGGGAGTCCTGTGCGGTTAAAGACCTTTGGCAGCATCCTGGCCTGTGTGCTGGCTGGAGTCCTCTACCTTGTCGACCAGAACAGTGGAAGGCTCATAGAAAAAGAAGTACTGAGCATGAAAGAGGTGCATTTCCTGGAGTCCTCAGGAGAGGAGGATGGTATCCAGCTCCTCACTCAAGCTGGCATCTATAGCTTTTGTTTCTCCAAACCTGAAGACAGCAGCAGACCTGAACCATGCCTGGTGGAGATGGTGTTTGAGGAGGCCTGCAGATACTACCAGAGGAGAAGCCTCAGCAGCTCCAAGCTGACAGTGGAGAAGTTGAAGAAAGGTGGTGCATTCCAGGCTCCTGTGGCCCTGGCTGCCATCCTGCAGCACAGCCTCCACCAGAAACAGAAGCCAGCCCAAGGCCTACAAGACACTTATGCCAAGCTGTTGAGCACAATGAGCCTGGAGCTGCAGAGCTACATGAGCCTGGAGCTCCTCAAGACCTGTGTGGTGTGTGCCCCAGAGAGTGAGGTGGAAAGCTACTGCAAGGAACTGGTGGAGCAGGAGGTCAGCCGCATTCTGCACTCTGACATGGACAAGGACAATTTGGCCTACCTCAATTCTGTCTTTGCCTCTTTCCCCAAGGCTGCCTGGAAGGCCACAAGGAACTGCCTGCAGCTGCAGCAGAATGGGGACGGCCTCTTGGTAGCCAGGGCCACCCCAGAGGTGTGGAAGAAGGTTCTGGGAGGGCCACAGCTGGACGACATGGGTCAGAATGGGATGGTCCCACTCTTTGAGCTCATCTGCACTTCCTTCCTGAGATTCAAACCCAAGTGGTTGCCCAGTTTTGTGGAGCTGACCCAGCAGTACATTAGCACGTCTTGGGCATACAGCAGCAAGGAGGGCCCAGAGGGCCGGGTGCCGCTGTACAAGAGAGCACTGGGAGTACTGGCCCGGAAGAACCAACACAGCGAGGGAGACAGTGAGATGGAGCTGGAACTGCTGCTCTGCAGCAAGAGGCCTAAGGCTGTGTTGCAAGCTCTGCACCTTCTTATCCGTCTGAAGCGGTGGCAGCGGGTGGTGGAGGTGGCAGAGAAGTTCTCCAAACTCAGCCCCTTGCTTAACAAGGAGATATTCACCACACTGCTGGCTGAGTTTGCCCAGCACCGGGAGCTGGACCCATATCTGGACAGGCTGTGGCCACTGTGCCCTGCTGAGCTCACTGCCTCAGACATCCTCACCGTGGTCCTGCAGCACCTCCCTCACTCCCAGGAGGACCCGGTGCCTTTCTCCAGCGAGGGGAACCAGCTGACCGTGGGCTTGCTTAAGCCACTGCTGCAAAGGGTTGCGCAGCGTCCCAGTGTCCACGAGATGTACTCGGATGCCTTGCAGAGTCCCACCTTCCCCCCTCCTACCTTGCCCCGAGAGCACAAAGTCCCCTCAAAAGCAGCAGCCGATGATGTCCCTCAGCCACCGATAGCAAGGACTTCCTCACCCTCAGCACTGGTACAGGATGACAGTGTGTGATGGGGGGAAGGACAACGTATCCCAAGCCTTGGGTGCACGAGGAAGGGAAAGCCACATGCACCCCAGGAAATCCTACCCTGTGTGGCAGTATGGAAGCCTGCTCCTTTCTGAAGCCTCCCTGTAGCAGCATCTCGAAGAGCCTGTTGGGTGGCTGGGGTTGGGGGATCTCCTCTGAGCCAGGACAGGCTTTCTGGCTATTCCTATCAAGTGCAATTGTGTGTGCCCAGTGGAGGAGCAAATGCCAGGTGCATTTGCAGATGAAAATGCTGGTTGCACTACAGGACTACAGAACTGCTCCCTACCCAAAGCACTTTGTTTTCAGTTTGCTTGGCTCCTTTATATATCCACTTCTACTTCCCTGATCCTGTAGGACTGGTGGTGGAGTGATGGGCAGGGACACACAGAGTCTTCCCTCCCCATTCTCTGCTCAGTGAGTTGGGTGGTGCCTCTAAGTTGTGCCTGTGAGAAACGGGGCATGTTTCTTGCAGTGGGGTCACCAAGTCCTGCTTCTTTGGGCTCAGTCAGATGCTAAATGCCAGTGTGGCACTGGAGGTCCCAGCACACGTGCTGGCAGCTGCAGCACACTGCACGCTGTCTCACCACAGTTCCTCTGGGATCAATCCTGTAGCTGTGACTGATTGCAGCTACTTAGCTGAAGAGAGCAGCCTAATTCCCTTATCTCTCTATCCCAGACAGTACCCAAACTCTCTTCTGAGCTGAGAAGCTGGCAGCAGCCTGAGTGAGCTTGGGGCTGGCCCTGCCTCTCCCTTTCCTTTATGGAAGCTTAGATTATGCTGCAGGACACCCAGGCCCTCTGTTCCCATCTCCTCTACCTTTGCCCTTTGCACACAAAGGGGCTTTGTCAGGGTTGTCTGGCTCATATTGTGCCTCTGTTTGCAAAGTCGGTGTAACTTGAGAGCAGTTGTGCAGGAAGATCCAGGTTCCAGCCTCACTCTGATACCCTCTGCCTGGCCCCCTCCACCAGGAGGGAGACTCTAGCTATGGCTTTGCCCCTGCGTTCTGGGCTGTGGTGTAAAGGAGCTGTCTCTTGCCTTGTCGGGCTGGGGGAGATTCACCTCCCATTAATCCTCTTGAGAGTGGTCTGAAGTGTGGAAGACAGACTCCTTTTAAAAATAAAGGTTTCTAAAGCAGTGATGAGGTGGTGGTGGATGTTGTGAGGGTGCACACTCTCGGGAGGAAGGCAGTTGTGTTTTGCTTCTGGTGAAAAGTGGACAACCTCAGCTCACTGGTACTGCCCAGCCGCGTTCAGAGAGTGTGCCCAGACAGCCCATTCCCTCAGCTGCTTACCACTATGAAGCCATGGAGGGAGGAGTCTGCACAGGCAGGCAGAAGTGTGTACGCTGCAGAGAAGGCCCATCCATGCAGTGCACAGCTGTGGCTGGGCCCAAGACAGAGTTGAGGATGGGGGATTTTTTCCTCAAGAGCTGCAACTTGTACATTTTTTGGAAAACTAGCAGTGGGAAGTACTTGTCTGGTCCAGCAGGAGCCTGCTGCCAGGCACTCAGTGTCAGAGCTGCTGTTGGAGAGATCCTGTTTTGTGAAACCACTGTAAAGATGCGGCAGGGCCTCCCCCAGACAAGGGCTTGGCTGCAGAAAGTCCCTGTGGTGGAAAAAGGTCTGGCAAAGAGGAAGAGGAACTGCTGCAACGGCTGCCTAGATGCTGGCTGGCTATTGATGAGACCTTCCTTGTTGGGAAGGGGGTGCTGTGGCCGTGGGATGCTGCTGGTTTCCTTCCCACACAAGGAAGCCACCTGATTCTGGCAGCTGCTGCTCACATGAGCAAGGGAGCCGGGCCTGAAAGGAGAGCTGGCAGCAGCCACTGTGGGCTGTCCCTGCCTCCTCTCCAAGCAGCTGCTGGCTCTGCCTGACGCTGCTCTCACCCACCTCCCAGGGCTGCTCAGGAGGAGGATGATGGACGGACCCAGAGCCCTTTCGGAGCCATTGCTCCAAGGATAAGGATGCTGCCCTGGGGCAGCACTGAATGGAGAGCTACTGAGAGCAAACCCCACACCTTGGCAAAGGCTGTGCAGTAACTGGGGGGGAGATCTTCATTGCCAAGGCTGGGTTTGGGTGCAGGTGGTCACAGTAGCACAGCAAATGAGGGTCAAGCTCCCTGCCTTCCGGCACTAGTTCTGCAGAGAAGAAAAGGCAGATCAGGGAAGGAGCAATGCCTGTAAAGCCAGCAAGAGGAAACTGAAGCCAGCAGCCATCCTGTGTGGGCTGATGTCCCCAAGGCACAGCAAGGGAAGAGGAAGCGGGGAACGCTGTGTGGTAGGGACACCCTGAGGCTTGGGGAAAGAGACCTTCACATGTGGGCCCTAGACAGGCAGGAAGCAGTCAGAACTTGGGAGCCTGAGGGTTCAGGGTAGGGGAGAGCAAGAGACACAACTGAGCTGAATGCTTTCCAAGAAATGCTGGAAATCCCCAAGGACCAGAAAGAGTAGACATCCCTATAGGGGAGCAGTGACCAAACCACTCCAAAGAACAAGATTCAGCTGAGTAATAGGCAAGCACAGGGCTCTCTCTGCAGTCAGATGGGTGCTGAGGGGAGATAGCAGGAGGTAAGGCCGGTGCAGCTTCAGATAACACCCAAAGGAAAAACCAGCGATTAGGAGATCTGAAGGCAAATAGAAAAAGCAATAAAGCAGATGCATGTAGCAGAGGGTGAGCTGGCCAGCCTGGCCCTCTCACTCTGCTCCAGAGAGACTTAGACTTTACAACAAAGGAAATGAGTCAAGCTGCTCACGCATATTCCCTGTGCCTGACATGGCTTTTGGGATGGTCCCTGTGCTTGCACAAAGGAGCAGCACAAAGCAACACCTGCACTCACCCCAAGGCTGCAGACCAAGTCACCCTTGGCTTATCTGTGCATGCAGCTCGGGACGTGCAGGAGTGGACATGGGAAGTCCCCATGCTACCATACCTAACATGGGCTGCAGGTACCCCATAAACTGGAAACACACAGATGACACATACCAGGGTTGCCAGAGGGAAGTGCTTCATGTCTTGGGGACAGCTTGGGGTGGCACCTCATGGACAGGAGGCTCTTGGTGTGGCTTTTCCCAGGAAAGGACCTGACACCCAGCCAGCCACAAGTGAAAAGGGTTGCCCAGTGAGGGGAATGTCATCCAGCCCTGGTGATGCTGAGCAGTGGTTCTGTATCAACCTATGGGCTGGCTGTGGGCAGAGCGTGCTTGGGAACCCCAGAAAGAGGCCTCTGGTCCCAGGCACAGCCCCAGCTTGTGCCAGCAGTGGGGAACCCTCCCTGTCCCTACCCCTGTGTCCTTCACAGCCAGACCTGAGGAGTGCAGCCACATCCTGCAGTGCACACAAACATCCCATTTATTGTTTGACACCAAAAATCACAGCCTTGAAAAGAATCAGGCTCCCCATAAAAATAAATAGTCACATTTTTCAAGTCAGGGGGGCCTTTCCATTTCTTCCTCCATCTGTGGGCGACGGGGGCTAATGCCTTGTGGATGGCCTGGGGATTATGTAGTAGTTGAACGCAGGTGGCCTGCAAAACCAAGGTCACTTACATCACCCCCAGTCACAAAGGGAGCAAGGGACAGCCCAGGATGCACTAGGATGGCCAAATATCATCCCACTCCTATCACCCAGTCCCACAGGAAAGAGGCTATGGGGACAGCCTCCCCAAACCCACCAGCCTGGGAGACTGGGAGCAGCAGCACCTCCAAACTTAGGAGTATGGGAAGATGATGGGGGAACCCCAGAACTGTGTGCACTGCAAAGGTCCCACCCTCAAAGCCTTCCCCTGCTACCAGCACCCTCCTTGGCCTGCACTCACTCACCCTGTTCCCCACCTCACCCACCTCTCTTTGTGCCCTGTCCCCCTTCATACCACAGGATCTGCCCCCCATCCCACACAAGGACCTGGCAATGCAAATAGCTTACATCTCAAATTCTTCATTCCTGGAGGGGAGAAAAAAGAGAGGACAGTGTCAGTGGAGCAAGACTCTTGGGACAACCCAGCATCTCCTGGTGGGACAAGGTCTCCCCCAGGTCACAGAAGAACATGGAGAGTTCAGGGTGCTCTGGTCCCCTCCATCCTGGATGCCTGACCTGAACACAGAGCATGGGCTCCTACAGCCCCCCTGAATGTTGCTGCCCCCAGAGCCTCTCTGCTCCTTCCCTGGGCAGGCAGAGTGGGACCCACACTCACCAGTTCAGCAGCACACAGTTCCCCTATGCCAGAATTTCAGTTCCCCCAAGTTTCCCAGGCAGCTGAGCCTGTGTCTCCAGCCAGCTCAGTACAGGACCAGGGCTGGGGAACCCCAAGCACACTGGCTGCACTGCAGGGCCAAGATGTAGCCCTCAGGAGTTGGAAAGCCAACTGGAAACTGCTCACTACCTTCAGGGGTCAGCAGTGGAGTGGGAGTGGAGCTGCTGGTCAGAGGGTCCCAGAGGGCTGGGGGGCAGCCCTGGGACACTGGTGGCCACAGGTGTGTGAGCAAGCACTGCACCCTCGTGGCAAGGACACCATCCATGCAGCACATTGCATTCTGCACAGCATGAAGCTGAGCTCCTGTTTGGGGGCCCCAGCACAAAAATAGTGCAAAACAGAGCCAGGCAGGTGATGGACCCCCGAGCCAGGCTGGGGCTGCAGCCCTACTAGCTCCTTCCTCCGAGGGGAGCTGGATGCACTTTCATCTGCCCAAAGAAGAGGTTCAGAGCTGGCAGGGCCAGGCTCTTCTCCAGAACATCTCTGCCCTCAGAGGCTGAGAGTCCCAAGTCAGCCCATGTTACTTTAGGATCAGCCCCACAGGCTACCATGAGGCACATGAAGGGACAGCTGGCAGTGCACGAGGGGACCCCAGACCCAGTGTGGCCATAGGGGGTGGGGCTGCTCCTCACCTGTACACATCAGCAATGTCCATGCGGCGGTAAAACTTGGCAAGTCTGACAGACAGGATGATGCTGGGCAGCAGGAACAGTGTGCACCAGCCCAGGCTGAACCAGAAGGCATTCTGGGGGGTTGGGAGGAGAGCCATTAGGGCTAGACAGCAGCTGTGAGAATATCTTTTGCTCTCAGAGCTCCCTGATGACCACCCACTCCTTCTCACAGCTTGCTCTTAACCACAGCAATCCGCTGGGGAGAAGCTGAGCCCTGCTTCCTGTGCATCCCTCATCCTTCCCTGCATCCCTCATCCTATGCATGATGAAAACAAGGGGACCTCACAGCCACCCCACACACACGTTTCACTCCACACACCGCTGCCCCACTCACCACAGAGTCCATGATGTAGTCGCAGCCAATGACCTCCACATTATCCAGGGTCTGAGCTACGGGTTTGCAGCGTGCCACATCTTCTGTCAGCTGGACACATGGGTGGGGACAGGACATGTCAGCACCCTGCAGCTCATCCTCCCCTTCCCTCCACCCCACCAAGGAAGGCTCAACTCACCCTGCTCTTGGCCCATGAGATGTAGGTCTCAAAGAAATGCAACAGCTGCTCCAGGAAGGCCCGCGTCTCCTGGTGAGGGGAAGCACAGAGTGGAGATGTTGCACCACCAGCCCTCTCCATGCCCCATGTCCCCTCTGTGTCAGGATGAGGGCTCTCAGACCACGTCAACTGCATGCTTCACCCTACCCCAGCCCCTTGCTGGGGGTGCCATAAGGGGCAGGGGCACCCAGAGGTGCGGGAAACCCCCAGGGAAGACAACAGGGCAGGACAAGCAGCCAAACATTGCTTGGCATCCCTGTGCAGAGGGAGGTCTTGGTATGGGGGTGCAATCACATCCCCGCGGTGTGGCCCAGGAGCAAGACAAGGCAAGCTCACATTCTTGATGATGTTAGGAGTCTCCCTCTCCAGGAACTTCTGGGTTTTGTTGACTTTGTCCAGCGCAGTTCTTGTCTGTTCCTGGGGCGAAAGGTGCTCTCAGCAGTGTGATGGAAGTGGGGTCCCTATCCTGCACAGCAGCACTCCCTGGGGCACAGCCTCTCTGATCTGTGGTGTTCCCAGCAGTCACACACTGGTAGTGCCCGAGTACTTCAGGTGAAGGGAGCCTGTGCCTGGCAGGGTCCATGACATGGGCCCCCTCCCTCTGCCCCATGAGCAGCCCCTGCAACGCATGCCTGGGGAGTCCCACAGCAGCCACCAGCCCCCTAGACTGCAGGTTACCCCCACCATCTTTGCTGCAGGACCTCAAAGGCACTTTGCAGGGTGCCCTGGACTGGGGTGCACTCAGGAGGTCCCCTTGCGCAGCTTACCT